TGTTGTTTAGATTCAATGGAGATCAAGTAGAGATGAATTTGGGGTTGTTCGGATCTAACATGGATGAGACGCAGGGGCGGACCCACATAGGGTCACACGGGGTCAAGCGACCCCACGGAAATTTTAAATTTTATTATTATATATTTATATATATATATATATATATATAATTTTTTTGTGTATACCTGTATTTAGTATATATCTTACAAAACGCTAAATGCTTTAACCTGCTAGCGCTGTGTTCGAATCCAACTTTAGGGAGACAATACATTTAATTTTTTGGAAGATGGATATCTAAAACTAGGTCGTTTTGTTTCCTTTTTTTTTCAATTTTCTCTAAAACCTATAGTTCCAATCCACCCATCCCACTTCGGAACTTTCCCGGACCTAATTGCAAAATCGGAACTGACCCATCCTCTCTCGCCCACGGCCGACTACAAACCTCCGCCAGACCACCGACCACCGCTTGGAAGTTGGAATCGACGAGGACCCCCAAGGCCCTAATTTCTCGAACAAATCTTCTCTTTGCCAGGTTTTTTCTTACACAATTGATACTAATTATCTAAATTGGATATTTCTTTTTTATTTGTAAATTGTGAAAATTTTAATTAATTGTTATAAATTTGTTATTGTGAATAGCAAAATAGGAAATTGAATTTGTTTATTTATTTTGTAAGATTGTGATTTGTGAATATGTTAATATAGTTTGGTTATGTACTTATGGTCTTATGTACTTATATTTTAAGTTTATAATGTTTTTAATTATTTAAATTTCAATATAGGATGCAAAAGTATTTTAAAAAGTTACCAATATTTAAAGAGAAAGAATCGAGTGAGAATCTATCAAATTTGAACGCAAATACTTTGTCATGTTTAAATCATCCACCGGAAACATCAAATTTGAATCCAAATATGTCATCATCTTTGGATTCTGAATCATTAGAGGCTGATCCGGGACTAAGAAAGATAATTATGGATTATCATCCAAATGTACAAGATGAAATTCGTTGTTCTTATATGAAAAAGGGTCCTTTTCAACCTAAAGCTCATAAGTTTCTTGTTATAGTAATGTCAGATTATGAATTTGTGAAGTTTGTGAAGAATGAAGTTGGAAACAAAATTCGTGACCAATGGTTAAATGATTGAATTATCTAGTGACATATATTAAAAGAAATGTCTTTGCTAGTATTAGCAATGATAAAATAATAAATCACTTTCAAAATATGATAACTAGACGTTATCAATTGTAAGATGTATTTCACATTTGCAATGTAGAACTATTTTTAATTAGTATTTTCAATAATATATACGTAGTATAAACTTTAATGTATATGTATTATAAATTTTCTGGGTGCGACCCCATAGTATAAATGTTCTGGGTCCACCCCTGATGAGACGCGATCAATCAAATCCCAACTTTGTTCCGATTCGACAGAGAGGAGGAGGTGCTGCTCCGGCACTCCTACTCTGGTGTAATGCAAGGTGGGGACATGAAAGAGGGTTTATAGATGGCCGAGGTTAGAGATAAAGGCAAAAGAGGAGGAAGATAAAGAAAATGTTTGGGATGAGGGGGGACCAAAAAGATAATGATAGGGAGGAATATGGCTTAGGAAAGGTAAAAGAGACATTTTGCTCTCTTTTTTTTGCCAAAAATAGAAACTGAAAGATAACTTATGGACATCCCAAAAAGGAAAGTGAGAAATTTTTTTATAGATGGAGGGAGTATATCAAAAGATCTATTGAATTAGAAATGATGCGACTATACTATTTTATCAAATGAGTAACAAAAATAGGGAAAGAAGTGAATAAAGTTGACTCTGTAGATAGTAAACAACTTAATTTGAAAAGAAGGGAATATATTAGCAATTGGAGATAATAAATGAGAATGAATTGTACAACCTAAAATTGGGATTTATTTAGGTTGGACCACGTGAATATTAATATATGAAAAGTACATTCCGTTTTAATTGGATTCCACTATAGAGTCCAATTAATATTTGGTATAATTAACGGTGAATGAAAGTGCGAAAGGGTTTAAGAAATATTGGCATTCAAGAAAAATAAAATTAGAAGAAAATAAAGTTTAAACAGATGGAATTAGTCCGGCTCTATCGGATTGGCCCATTTTAATGTGTCATTCACTCACTTGTGTCCGAGCACTATAAAAGTATAAAGTAGAGTTACTACTCATTTTGGTCCCTCTAATACCTTGGTGTCTGCCGCACGGGAAATGCTAGCGGGAAGTAGACCTGGCAAAAAGTGACTCGACCTGTTTTTGACTCGAAATCCGACCTGAAAACACTGAGTTTTGAATAAAGGTTTTGATGACCGAATTCGAAGTTGACCGAACCCGAAATGACCCGCTAAAAATGGGTCAAACCCGACCAAACCCGAACCCTCCTGCAGGAACGAGAAGAGCGGGAACCCCTCACTATATTTCTCGTCCAGTTTCTTTTCTTTTTTTTTTTTGCTTTTTCGTTTCTTCCTTATCTTCTTTCTCCTTTTTGTTGCTTCTTTCTTCTTTCTTTTTTTTTTTCTTTATTTTATTACGGAGTACTTCTTTTTCTTTTTTTTTGTGTTTAATTGTTCTTCAATTTTTATTTTTGATTTTTTTGTTTTTTTTCAGTATTTTAGTTTATTAATTTCTTTTTTTATTTTTATTCTGAGTTTTTGTAAATATGAATTATTTAATTATATTTTATGTTTTTAGTTTAATTATTTTAATTAAAATAAGTGTAAAAACAAGTTTAATTTATTTTTTTAATTGTGTACATTAATTATTTAATGTATTAATTTTATTATACTTTGAATTTGATTTTAATGTATCACTTTTAATGAACCACTTTAAATTTTAATGAAATATTTAATTATTATAAGTTTAATAAAGTAATAGTTTGAAGTAAAGTTTTATGATTTTTATATTTTTCATTTTAATCATTTAAATTAAAATAAGTGTTAAAAATAATATTAAAAATTGAAGGGAAAAAGGGAAAGGGGAAGAGAAAACCGAAGCTGACGTGACACTGAATTGGCAAAGAGGAAAAGTGGAAAGGGGGAAGGCACACCCCAAGGCCTATGTGTACTCATGACGCAATTTGGAATATCTAAGTTCATTTGAGTCAAATTAGTTCTTATATATAGAAAATGTGAACCAAGTTAGTTGTTCGAGCGTAATTTAATTTCTAAAATTTGAGTTATCACGTTAATTAACGCAAGAGCAATGACTATGTGCATTAATTTTTGTATCAATTAACGCTTTAACCTAGAATTTTAGAAGATAAATTTAAATGAAGAACTAATTTGACTCATATTTACTAGTTACAAAGACTAATTTGAGTTAACTGAATTTACGTGGACACTTAAAGAATTAAAGAGGCTAAAACGAGTATTAACTCTCATGAAGTTTGATAGCCTTGTTTAATGGAACAATATGATCCATTTCTAAGAATTCTATTGATGTCCAAAGAGGAAGAGATGTGGGTTACAGATCTATTTTTCAAGAGAAATTTACGTAAATAGTACTAAAACTGTAAAACATAATGACTTTGCCTAAATAGCACTACATGTGTTTTAGTTTCCAATGTACGAGTAACACTTTTAGTCATTATCCACTAGTTATTATTCAAGTAAATCTTTGTCATCACTGGTCATTATGGACATTATTAAGTGTTATTTAGGGAATTAAACAATTTAAGTGCTATTTAGAGAAATGACTTAAGTTTTAGTCCTATTTAGTGCAAATATTTCATTTTTCAATTACTTGCCCGTTGCCATATATTGAACAGCTTCCATTTGTCTTCATTTTTTTACAAAATTTATGAACAGTTCAGAGAAAAAAAGACTCCCCCACCCAAAAAAATTTGTTACATTACGTAAAGCCAGATATAACAAGAATAATTTATTTTATTTTATCAAAACGTACAAAATAAACAAAAGGTAGAAAGTGTTAAATTTTCTATTTTTTTTAACACTAAAATTTGATGTTCAAAGAAAAATATTTCTTCCCCTAAATGAAATAGCAACCAGACAATTCAAAGAAAAAAACTTTTTTGCAGGATTGAAGCACACAAAACAAACATTTTCTTTAAGTCATAAAATTTGAGTGGATATTATACAAAAAATAAAAGCAAATTAGGTGTTTAGCTGAAAACCAACATGACATGAAAATGACCAAAACAACCTTGATAAGGTTGGGATCAGTTGACCTCTTCCTGGAAACGGAGATGCGTTCCCGTTTGTGTTGCCAAAACAACCCTTCAAATGCAATAAATCTCCTCCGCGGCTCCTCCTTCCGCCGCCGTGTCTGCCACCACCTCCGCCACTCCCTCTAGCTCGCCGTCGCTGTCGTACACAAACCGCGTGTGCTTTCCGGACCATTTTGCCCTCCTCCCTCCCCTCACACTCATCTTCGTCATTCCTTCACACAGTTCTTCAACCGATCCTCCGCCATTATCATCATCATCATCACCATTCTCCATGTATTCATACGAATCCAATTTCTCCGAAAAATCCAAGAACAGAGACCTTGTAACCCCGATGTCTATCCCTGATTCATTTTCTTCTTCTTCTTCTTCGTCTTTCTTGCACTCAAATGTCAACTGAAAAAGACAAGAAACATCCAATTTAATATCTTTATTCTTTCCAAAAATCTCCGAAAGGCGAAGAAGAAGATGATGAATTTACCTGCTGGGTCGGAGAATAGCGATTTGCAGCGAGTTTAGAGAGGTGTTCTCCTTCTTCCTCTTCAACCTTCTGCAACAAGTTCTTGACTTGGCCCCTCAACAATGTCTCCCCGGACCCAGGGGTTGCTCTGCTCATCTGCTTCGACTGGGAATGGATTTCGACCGCTCTCTTTCTTGGCGTGGGCGTCTCCAGACTCCCCATAGCCAACCCCACAATGGGCGAATCGTTCGTGATATCAAAAAGCGCCGATCTTTCGGGTTCGTGCCCGTTTCTTGGGTTTCCTCCTTTCTTCTCCGAGTCTTCGTATCTCTCTGCAATTCCTTCCACAAATGAAATTACAAGATAAAAAAGAAGAGATTTTTCGATCAGTAAATTGGATTTGATGGAAAATAAGTTCTGGGATCAGAAGAATGATATGATGATGATGATGACTGACTTGAAGCGGCAAACGATGGGTGTGATCTAGTTGAAGATGGCGTCTCCATTGAAGATTCCCAAATCAAGAAAATGGCTGCTGCTGCTGATAAACAGAAGGAGAGAGATATATAATATGAACAGGGAAAAAGGGATAAAAGGTGTTTTATAGAAAAGAAAAGGAAGGAATGGAACGGGGAGATAAAAAGATGACCGTTGGAGCGTGAAAGGAAGTCGTCTTAAGTAGCCGTTGGGAAGTTCATTGTGTTTGGGCTTACATTCGCCATTAGGAAACAACGCCATTCCGTTTTTGCCTTTTTGGACCCTTTTCACTCCATAATACGAGTAATAATTCTCTTCATTCTTCTTCTTTTTTTTTGTTAGTCTAAAAAAAAATATTCACATTTTCTTATAAGTTTAAATTATGGATTACGTTTTTTATTACGGTCAGGTTCTAGTGACACCGGAGAACGGTGCCATTCCGGTGCCACTGGTTTTTGGGGCACCTCAGGTGCTCCGTTCGTAAAATTGACGGTTCCTACTCCCCCTAAACCCCCACCCCTGAACCTCCACCCCAACCCCGCCGTAACCCCCTCACAAAATGTGTGGCTATTATGCATTGCATAATAGCCACACATTTTGTGGGGGGGTTACGGCGGGGTTGGGGTGAGGGGGGGGGGGGGTTTAGGGGGTGTCAAGCATAGGAATCGTCAATTTTACGAACAGAGCACCGGAGGTGCCTCAAAAACCCAATGGCACCGCTAGTGGCACCGTTCTCCGGTGTCACTAGAACCGGGCCGTTTTTATTATTTAAAATATTTTTTAACTTGAAAACCAAAATAAAATAAATTTTACGAGGGATAAATATAGAGTATCCAGTATTAAATAAAATTAGGAAAGAGTATCCCTTCTTCGTAATAACTGCCTAACATTTACGGAGTATTTTTTTATATCTAAGAGAACGTTCCATTTTTTATAAATTTAAATTATATGAAGTACTCCCTCCGTCCCACTGTCTTTGTCCACTTATCTTTTGGCACATCATCCAATACACTTCTTTAATCCATTTTATCTTGTAATTTGTATATTAAAAAATTATACAAATTATATATTAATAATCTATATGTTAAGACGAATCAAACAAGACTACACATGACTATTTTTAGGCTTACACATTAAGAGAATTTGATGAGTCAAAGTGCTTAGATAAACAGTTTCGAAAGTCAAAAGTGGACAAAGACAATGAGACAGAGGTAGTTTCCAATGTTTTGTAAATTAAAAATTAAAGCGAGATAAGTTTAGCGAAATAAGTTTTACGAGACAAAAAGAGTACATGATGGTGTAAATATAGCGGGGTGGGTTAACCGGGTTTGACCTGGACACACTCGACCCGTAATATAAAACACACAACAAGAACACAAAGTATGACCTAGACCGGGTAAATCTCCTCAGTCCGAATAATATTTCTTACTCTATCTCAAGAGTGAACTTTAGTGAGAGAAAAATTGGATCCCCTCGTCTATCCAATATCATCATATTTATAGAGGAGGATTTGTGACCTTCCCCTGCTCATCCATGGACAAAATAGGAAGCTCGTGGGAAGGTCACTGTAGATAGTGGGAACACTGTACAATCATAGAATTTAGCAACTATAGGCCAAGACATGTACTGTTCAATCAAAGACTAAAATGGATATTCTCAATCCAATCAACCCTGCAAAATGACAAACATCCCTTTCACTGTGTGCCTCGTGATGGATGAGCGGCGGAGTGTCCCCTTGACCTCTGACGTGGTTCACCATGCCTAAGAGACTGAACCAATGTTAGCCAAGTAAAGTGATATGACCGGTCACTTTTTTAGTGGAAGTGACCGGTCAACTTTTGACCCGTCCCAATCGAAGAGTTAACCTCATTTGGTGATTGATAAAAGTGACCGGTCATATTTTGACTTGTCCCTTTCGGTTGTCCGGGTCGGGTATAGGGATATACCCATCAAGAAGTCCTCCACTTACCGGCCTTGTGAGGAAGTCATCAAGGGCGGGAAGTATACTTATGTTGATCTATCACTTTTGAAATCATCAAATCATTCCCATGACCTTTCCTTCTTTGAAACCATCAAGTCATTCTCGTTGACCTGTCCTTCTTGTTGACCTGTCCTTTTAGACCCGTCACTTTTGTAATTATCAAACCTTTCTCTTTCAAGACCTGTCTTTCTCTGGATTGCCAAGCCTTTGTTTTTCATGACTTGTCCTGTTCTTCTTTGAAATTGTCAAGCCATTCCCATGACCTTTCCATGGAGACCTGCCCATTTTTTGGATTCACCGTCTTCATACCAGACCTGGCACTTATGGATTTGTAGACTACGCTGCATGACCTGTCCATTCTGGTTAGTGGAAGTTTAAACGTTGGCCCTGACTCTTCAGTTTTTTGGAATTTCCCTCCAAAACCTTCCACCTTACCATTCAAAATTCAAAATTTCCCCCCTAATCATTAATTCTTCCACGTGTCAAGCTGTCCTTCTCCCACCTGTCGCCTCGAGTTCCAAACCGCCTCCCTCTCTCCTATAAATACTCCTCCAACCCACCTCATTTCTTCACTTCTCTTCTTCGATCTTCAAGTTTTAACCGGTCTACTTTCTCTCTCTAGCCTTCTGCCAAGTAAGTTCTCCAGTCCTCCTAGTCTTTTATTTTTCATCTTTCCTTTTTTAACCGGCAACATAATGTCTTCTGATAGCCAAAACATCTCTGGCCAATCCTATGGATCTGGCTCTCAGCCCTCTTCCTCTTCCCACTCTGAATCTTCTTCTCCCCCTGTCACTCCTTTGATTCGCCGCCCCTCTCACCAGTCTAGCTCCCAGGCCCGGGAAATTATTGCCCAAGACCCTGTCCCTTTGAATCAACTGCCCGGTCGATTCAATCCCAAGGTCCTTAGCTGGGAGCAATGGGAGGAACGACTGGGATCCTTGGGCTTCCTAGCCCTTGATGTCAGACCGGTCTTCAAAGAATCTTCTAGGGTTACCAAAAAGGTTCTGGCAGAGGTCCGTACCATCCTTCCACCGGGCTACAAAGTCCTTTCCACAACCACCTGGCCTAACATCATTGAACCCCACCAGGGAACCCGATTGGGTTTCCATATTGCGTCTCTGGAGGGAGGTATTATTTTTCCTCTCCGCCCCCTCCTTATTGAAATCTGTAAAAAGTTTCATATTTTGCCCGGTCAGCTTACTCCAAACGCTCACCGGTTCTTAAATTGTTTTGTTAATATCTGTGAAAATCTTAAAATCAACCCTTCCCTTGAGCTTTTCCTCCACATGTACGAAGTTCTGCCCGGGACTAGTAATTGCCCGGGCTTCGTTTATTTTCATTCACGTAATAAGAGGAGTTTTGTGACCGGTCTTCCCCCTAGCCACAAAAGATGGAAGAAGAGATTTGTTTTTGTTGAATTCCCCCCTGACCAATTTCCTTTCTCTAACCCTGAGTGGGCTGACCGGGTTATAAAACCTGAAAGGGTTCATCCGGAGCCCACCAAAGATCTTGAGGACGCCTGCGAGAAACTTCTCAAGGGTGATCCTGTGACCGGGAAACCTTATGCCTATGGAGGCTGGGTATTCCGGCTATCTAATCCGGATGGGGGTGAATCTGCGACCCATGACGCAGAAGATGACCGGGCAAACTCCCCGGATGGTCATGCTGAGGCCAGTTCTCCTCGTCCAGGTCGATCATCCTCTCTTAAGCTTCTTAATTTCATTTTCTTTATTTTATGTACTCCCCGAAAAATAACCGGTCATCTTTTGCTTTGTTCTCTTTCAGACATGAACATCAACAGGATGACCACCATCATCGAGGATGACGACGATGATGTCCAAGTCCTCCACTCCAACCGGTCTCCTAATCGCAACTCTCCCTCCCCTCCTCAAAACCTTGGAGTTGAAGGGGCCTCAACTGCTCGGTGCTCTTCCTTTGATGATCTCATTCGAGATAAGCAGGTGAAGTCACCCTCAGCCCTCCATTTCTCCGAAGGCGACCGGGTTTAATCCAAGTCCAAAGAGGCCAGCCATTCTTCTTCACGTGCTAAGGGCCAGAAAAGGAAAGGCTCCCATAAGAGTTCCAAAGGGGGCAAGAAGAAGAAGACCGGGTCGCTTGACTTGGAAGGGGAGTCGGTAGAAGAAGCCTTCCTTGCATTGACCAGAAGACTCCAAAAGGTACGCCATCTCTATTTTTTCGCTCGGTTTAATTATTAGCCCGGTCTCTAACTGACAAACCTCTTTTCCAGGTTGGAGTCCTATCTGAAGAGATTGGCCAGTCACTCATCGAGCCAACCAACCAGGTCTCCCAACTGAATCTCCTGCTTGACTCGGCCAAATCAGAAATAAATGACCTGGTCGAGAGGGAGAGAAGGTTAGAAGTAGAGCTGAGGGCCGAGAGGGCCTTGCTGGAGGAGGAAAGGGCCAGATCTGCCCGGTTGGAGGAGGAAGGCAAGAGGAAGGTTGCTGAGCTTGAAGAGGCGTTGGCCCAAGCTGAAGAGACTGCCCGGTCAAAAGAGGAGGCCTTTCCTGATGATGCTGCGATCTGGGCCGGCTGCCATCACACTGAAGTCGCCCGGTCCATTCTCACCAATCCGGAGGACACCATGGATTTTTTCAAGACTATGTACAAAGAACCGGAGGGCATGAGGATGATAACTGAGATCGGGTCATACGGCTTCCAGTGTGGCCAGAAGGATGAGAGGTCCCTTCTCTATGCCAGGCTCCAGAAGAGGGACCCTTCATTTGACCCGGCCAAGATGAAGCTTCCTCCTTTGTACAAGGAAGAGCCAGCCCCCCCTTTCCCTTTGCAGTAGGTTAGGGTAGATAATTTAAAAAAAACTTTGAATTTTCCCAAGGCCTGGGGGATGTCCGGCCTACTTCTGACTTGTTTAATATTGTCTTTTGTTTGGCATGGTTTTCAATTTACCGGCTTGTTTCTTCTTTCAGTTTGCATGGTTGTCCTTTTCTATGCATGGTTATTGCTTTTCTTTTCTTCTTCTTGATCGCCTTTGAATGAACTTCCAAGTCAATAAGACTAACCGACCTTATACCTTAGGAATCGTCTTAAAAAACGCCCAGGTCATCTCATGTTCTGGTCTTGAAAACGCCCAGGCCTCACTGGCTTGGTTGACTATTTTCTTGAATATGCTTGATTCCAAGTCAAAAGAAGTAACCGGCTTTATCCTTTTTAGTTGTCCAGGTCACCTCATGTCCTGGTCTTTGGTTAACGCCTTAGAAATGTCTAGGTCTGGTAGGCTTTGTTGACAGCGTCCAGGTCTTTTCATGTTCTGATCAATTCCATCTCTTGCAAATGTCCAGGTCATGTGATGTCCTGGTCAAGTACAAGCCTTGAAAACATCTAGGTCTTGCAACCTTGAAAATGTCCAGATCTTGTGGCCTGACTAGTCTTCTGGACCGGCTTGTGTCTAGGTTGAACTGCAACAAACGTC